CCCCAAAACCCCAAAACCCCGACTATTTCAATTTTAGTTTAGAAAGTTCTTAAGAAGTTTTTTAAAAAATTAAGATTAATTAGGATTAATTAAGAATTCAAAAGTTGAATGAATCTTTTGCTTCATTGCTGATTAATCTTGAATAATTTATGGTGCCTACGATTCTCTCTAGTTAAAGCTTGTCAAACTTGCTAAATAGACCCACTATAGATCTGTCGGTATGCTTCTCCTTTACAATGGCTCTTGCCTCTTCAAGCAATTATTCTTCTGACTTGCCTTCATCTTTGGACATCTTAGCCTTGTTTAGCCTTAGTTTCATCATAATCTTCCAATTTTAAGGATTCAGGATCTCACATAGCGCATCAGTAAAGGTATCTGGTGACTCAGGTAATCCATATAAGACTATATTCCTAGCATATCTAAGTTTTATCTTATCGAAGATCAGAGCTCTCTCAGTGATCATTAGTATTGGTTTCTCAGCAGTTTCATAGTAATGTCTATTCCTTTGGCAGTCCTTCTTCTCTGAGTATTCACTGATCAGAGCTACTTGCGCATTCTTGTTCTTGAAGTAAGTTCTAAGTCTCACAAAGTCGAAATAAGATGGAACAAATAGCAAAGTATAGCCCTAATTGTTTTCATACAACTTATCCCATATCTTTTTGGTAAAGAAGCTAAATCTTGAATCATCAACATGCTCAAAGCTTTCAACATTAGGTAATCTTCTTAGCGTCATTTTGCATTAGTACTATTCACACATAAGCTTGGCTCTGTTTGGCTATATTCTTTGAAGTTTGATCCTTCCAAACATATTGTTGTTGCAATAATTATCTAAGCAGTATTCAATGTCGAGATTTCTGAATTTAGAGATCACTATGTTTTATCTCACCTTCTGGAAGATTTTATCTTCTGATGTGTATATATCCATAATCCTACTGATGTCATTAAGTTATGTTAGCTTCTTTGGCATTCTATTTAATACTTTCAAAATTTCCTCTAGATGCTCTACATTTTAGAATACAAAAGCCTCAGCTTGGTCCATTATCAGATATTCGATTGAACTAAGGAAATCAAAATCAACTCTAGACTATTTCTAGGCATTTTCATCGTCATCTTGCCCAGTTATCATTCTTAAGCCAAGAGGGGAAGCTATGATTATATCTGACTCGTAAAACTGCTCATAGATCTTAAGACTCATCTTGTCATTTTTCTTAGAGTGATTTATAGCGATTCCGATCTTAAAATAATCATTAAAAGCCTCCTCTTCAGAGCCGAATTCCTCTCTAAACTTCTTCTTTTTAGAGACTTTCTTCCATTTACCTCCATTAAGAAACATTACAATCATCTCTACGATTTAATAAGCCATCTGTTTGAATGGTGTGAGAATTAATATTTTTGGTCTAGTGAAACCTTGATCTTTCATCTCTTCCTTCAATACATCCTGTACATGCTCTGTGTTAACTTACTTGACAAAATCAGATTGATCAAGTTATGGTTTCTTTTCTTAAATTTATTAGTCAATAGCTTCTTTATCTTGCTCATCTTCTTCTGATTCGCTTTTCTCTTCAAGCCCATTCTGGTTCTAAGCTAGTTCAAACACATTTTCAAGAGTAATTCTATCTTTTTAAGTCTCCTATAGAATTTTCTTGTCATTTCTATGAATTCTTTCTCTGTCTTATAGAAGATAATCAAGTATGTGCAACACATATGTTTCTCTCATTCTTTTAAGCTCTTCACCATTATCATATTCTACTCTAATGTCTTAACCAGTCCTAATTAAGTTAAACAACTCTAAACCCATTATCTTTATTAGGTTCTAGTTTTGATTGGCTGACTTAGTATTTCTAGACGATTTTTCAAGATTAGTTTAATATTCACTCTCCTTGTAAAGTGAAAAGTCTTTCATTAAGCCTATTCTTTCTAATGTCTCTTTATGAAAAGCAGTATTATTCAATAGTTATTGTGCTAGTTCGAAGTTAAGCCCTTTAGCTTCCAAATCTTAGCCCTAGTTAGATTTCATTTCAACTAAGGGGAAATATTTGGTCTGCATTTAGAGTGTCTGATGCTCCAATTTCACTATTTTCTTGATATTCTCTATTTTCTAATTTGCCTGCTTTTCCAAGTAATAGTTTCTGTATGACGGAATTACTTTGAATTCAAGTTTTTATCTATCTTCACAAGCGTTTAGGAATTTCTATATGCTCTCATCCTGCTCATTCCTTTTTTTATTTGCCAAATGATTTTGCTTCAAAGCCTCTTATATGCTCTCTTTCCCTTTAATGTTCTTGTCTTTGTTTAGTAATTTCAAATATTTGTGATAAGGATCGTCATTTGAATTGAGCTGCTACTAATCCTATTCTGGGTTTTAGAGTTTTTCAAGTTATTCATTAATGAACTTTTCTTGAGCTACTTTTTGTCTCTTGTTTCTCTTTCCTAACATTTTATATTGAATATGATTAAATATACTTCGACTTGCCTAGCTAAATTTGCCTTCTGGGGTTTTGGGGTTTTGGGGTTTTGGGG